CGCAAAGCGCGTGCTGATGGCGTAACGCCGCTAAGAAGTCCGTGACACTCTCTCCCGGCTGCTGAACGCAAAGACGGAGCTTCTTACGCTCGAGTGCTAGAGATCCGGAAAAAACAAAATGGCTCTCCAGGACCGCTAAAAAGGTCTCGAACTCGTCAAGAAGTTCCGAGTGCGGAAGGTTAGGGAATCCAAATGCGGACACTATTCGTTGCCCTTTAATGCCCAACAACAAAAAAAGAATCTGTTTTTTTTCTCTTCGGGTCAACACCCTGTAGGCCCGCCGCACCTAGAAATGATATGAATGTCTTTTTCCATGCAGCCCAGGCCTGTGGTGGCGGTCCCGGAACTGCGGGAAACGGCGGTGGCGGTGGCAACGCCGCGGACTAAACGACCGTTATCTGCCGCCACCACAGGCTTTGCTGTCTCAGAAAGGAGAAATAATTAATAACATCGTAAATAAACTCCTTATAATAGCAATATACGTGGATGTTTCTAAAGCCTTTGACTTAGTTAATCATGCAATTATTTTGAGAAAGCTACTACGCTACGGTATACGGGGACCTACATTTAATTTATTTAAGTCTTTTCCCGCTAAACACAGACAATATGATAAAATCAACAGTTCAGTATCATGCACCAAGCCGGTAAAAACAGGAGTACATCAAGGAAGTGTATTAGGCCAGCTATTATTTTTTTTATTCACAAATGAAATTGAACGTTTTGTGCCTGATTGCAAGGTTATAGCCTAAGCTTATGATACTACACTTTTCTTGAAGGGTTATACATGTAACGAGATGCAACTGTCAGCAAATCGTATGCTCTCCGATCTTAGCCTTTGGGATGAAGTAAACAGATTACAAATTAACACGAGCAAAACTAAATGCGTACTATTCCGTTTAAAAAACGTAACAGTCCCTTATAATTTAAATATTAATATAGGTGGCGAAGTCATTGAAATTGTGAAAACGTTTAAAATATTGGGCGTACTCTTTTCCGATACTTTATCATGGAATGACCATGTAAACTATATTTATCAAAAAGCCAGAAAGGCCGTAGGATCGAGATATCGCTCTATTTTCACCCTACTTGTTACGCAGATCATCTAGCACGGTCTTGTCCAGTCAAATTGTGTGTATTGGCGTCTGGTATGGGGCACCACCCCCTTACAAGATGTAAACACACTTCTGACCCTACAAAGAAAAAGCCTTAAGAGTGGTCGCGAATGTATCGTATTTTTTTTTTTCACGCAGATCCGCTTTTCGCACGTTATAAGATTGTTAGAATAACAAACCTGTAGAACTTCCGCCTCCGAACATCATACAATGTTGCAATAAATAGTGAACATAGCCATATTCTCCAAATATTCAACTTACTTAGGAATATAAACATACATAGCACGCGTTTAAATGAACAGCGGTATACATTCACCCCCGAACGAACTATGGCTAGGATTCATTAGGTACACTCTACCATTCTTACTAAAAACGTTTCATCAAAGGGGACATTTTTCTCACAATTTGCCATTTGAAGTATTCATGCATATTCTATCTACCCTGCGAATGTTAGTTATTTGCTATTGCTTTTCAAGTGTGCATTGTTAAGTGCTATATTATGTAACAATAATGTCTTATTTCATTTGTTTTGTACTTTGAGCTAAAAGTGCACCTCTGTGTATATATTTATTTTGCATGTATTGGGTTGCATTGGTGCATGTTTAACTGTTGTCGAATGCTAGCTGCCATCTTGGAGCTGGGGCCTTTTCAAGCTGCACTTGTTGCAGCTTCTTGTCTTAGCTGCCATCTTTATTGTGAAAGAAAATAAAGTATTGATTGATCGACTGATTCATACTTTCGCATTAAGAACTCATAAGAAGTGCTTAGGTGCCCTAGCAATTTTTTTTCGAAATTACTTAGCTAATGGCCATGCTCACCTGCAAGCACGTTAATTCTCAACACACTAACCAATCTCGGGAAATCCGCCTGGCTCTGCTACGTGTGTGCCATGCAATTCACTTTAAGCCTGACCGCAGCCGACGTTATCGTCCTATCAAGTGGCACCAAATGTGCACCATCGCGGAACTCATCGCCTTCGAGCATTTGCTATCTTCGACTGAACCAATCACTCACTGTGAATCCGCCAAGGTCCTGCGCTTTTCTTTTTTTTTTTGCGCGTGATTGCTTTAGGCAGTTATAGAAATTCAAGCAATGAGATTGCAGCGTCGGCCTAGGCCGGACGAAATGGTGTATACAGAGTGAAGCAAAGTGATCGATGTCAGTTCCAAGGGACGGCATAAATCGGTTTCTAAACCTATTTGGCTTCGATTTTGAACAGAAGTGGACGAAGTGCGTGCATAAAGAGTACAAAACGTTCATTGGAATAAATTAGCTTAGCAAAAATTAGTAATGAAAAACTTAAAGCCCCTATTTATACTTCGTCTCACCCTACGATGGACTAAAGGCAAAAGCTACGGACCGACAAATCCAATCACGAGCCACTTAGAAATTGCGCAGTATTTCGCTTTGATGGACGTATCGGTGCCCGCGTCTCGGATTACTGATGAAAGGGACGTGTGGGCAGTGGTTTGAATCGAAGGGCACTGAATGACTCAACAATTTTACATCTTAAAGAAAGCCACGACATATAGGCATATAGGCTCTTTGCAGCGTCGAAGCTATAGAAATGATCCGGCGCTTTTGGATTCGAGCATTATTCGTCCACCCCTAATCAGTGTTAAGCGTGTCATCGTGTCATAGTATAGCGTGGAACGTGATCGGACCTGGCGGCCCGCGGCTTTGGCCTTTAGTCCATCGTACGATGAGACAAAGTATAGTGCGGCCGTGCGCTAATTGAAGGCGTCTGATTGGTGCAACAGCCGTAGATATCGGCAGCGCTCTTCGCGTTGAGAAGGGGGTTGGTGGTGAAGGCACCGAGCACCGCAGTTTTCAGCGTCAGCTTCGGTGATGCAACCACTGGTGACGCTGGCTTGTTTTGGAGGTTTCGCTCCTCGGTGATGCGCCTCACCCAGCATGGAAATGTATGCAGACTGTTTGTATGCTGTATAAACCATGTGACTCCGACTTTAAGGCTGGTTCACACAAAAGTCACTGGATCCTGGGAAAGTAGCGCCATTGCCTTTCCTGCCTGCTAACCGAACATAAACAGATACTAATATACAGAACACCAAAACCTCGCAAGGCGATTGGCTAATCTGTATACGTCGCCATAAAATCGCCATCTTGGTCAATTCAAATCTTCGAAGCTTCCAGAGGGCTGTTCTAAACCAGTCTCGCCAAAATCATCATAGAGCATCATCGTACTTGAAGCGTTCCTCGCTAATATAAGCGCCTTTGGCAATCTGTATGCAATCAACATATCAGTCATGCCAATCTCCACGGAACTCCTACAATTATATTGTATATCTTGCGTATATTAAAACTGTAAACTTAATATTTAGTGCTTTCAAGCACCGCCACAGCATGTGGTGGTGGCACGAAGATGTACGCTTGTTTCGCCGGTGTGTGGATAGCAAAATATCGTTGTACAAGAAACGTGCCATAAAGCTACCCGTCACATGCGTGTTTAGATCCGCTCACCAAGAACGGAGGGTTCAAGCAGAAATTTCTGTTGTCAGAAACCAACATGGCTGCCATACGAGGAGCTTGGCGCTAATTTTCCAGGATCCAGTGACTTTAGTTCACACAACACCATTTTATTAATTTCCGGTCTGATTCGAATGCTGACGTACATGTCACCGGGGCATGGGCGTTTCATATTAAGCGTGGCCACCAGTTCAACGAGATATCCTGGGACACGACATTCGAGCCACGAACGTTTTGGTAACCTATATGTAACGGAATATAGCGTAAAAAAACGGTGCTGTGTGAACCAGTCTTTAGAGTCATCTACATACTCAGTGTGCGCCAGTGTTAACGCTGATCCCTTTCCTCACACCTCTATGCCGAGTGTGCAAATAGTAAAAAACCTATCAAATCGAGTGCAGAAGTAGTGTACATAATGATGGCATGATGGCATCATGTCATGTAGTTAGTTAATCAAAGTAGGGCAAAAAAGCGCGGTAAAACGCAACGCAAAACAGGAATGCTACATCTTCGCCAGGATGCGGAGGGGAGAGCCATCTTATAGCGGCCGCGTGTCGTGATTCCAAGATGAAAGCGCCTATCCGCCAGAGGGTAAAAAGGTCTTTAGGGTGCCAAGCAGACGACGTAATGTAGCCGAAAATATTTCAAGAAACAAAAGAGACAACACATTTCTTCTGATGATCTCTTTTAGTCTTAAATGTTATGTCATATTGGCAGAATAAAATTATTCATGCACTGACAATTCTTACATAAAGGAACACATCGCAACTGGCTCAGAAGCGTCGTCTGCTGATGTCAAGGAGGTAGGAAGTTGGTGGAGGCGACATAACGCCACGAGAGGTGAAACCGGGGGAGACCTCCGGTTAGGAGGGACGCGCCCCCAACGATGACCCAAAAAGACCAAAACCAAAAAAATAATATTGGAGAGAAAGAACATCTGATTTGGCGCCAACAGCTGTTTTGGTCCCCCTTGGGGGCATTGTCACCAACCGCAACCTCTACTTCCGTCTTTATTTGGGATTTTCATCGTTTGGCTGGCTAGAACCGGTATGCCGCCTTCTCTTTTTTCTACCTCCATGGCTAATACCGAGGTCAAGAGGAGCACCCGTCATGGCCGCCAGCGATCTTACGGGCCGCCGTATGTCAACTGTTGCGCCACTCCCCTTTCGTTAGCAGACGGACGCCCTAGGTAGAAATTTCAAGTTCTTGATTTCGACCTCTTTAAGCTTGATCACTGAGCTTTTGATATCCTTAGTGCACGTTCTTCGACCACGTCTGTTTTAAGTATGAGCTCAATACCTTTACAAACCGACCCTTGTACTTTTACGTTCCTCAGCATGCGAAGGAGGCATCAGTGGCCTGCAAGATCGAGTGTCGGCGCGGGAGCAGAGCTGCACTTGCCAGTCTGACAGGTGAGAAGAGAACACCGTTCCCACGACGAGGCCGGCCAAGTACACGCTCTGTCCAACGGAGACCAGCCATTTGCTCTGGCACACAAGGTTCCACTGGGGACGAAAATGCAAGCAAGTCAGACCATACTTTAAGATAACGCGAAAAAGTTAATGCCAAGTAATTGAAAAGCAGCTACAGTTTCGAAATCTTCCTTCTCCGTTCCGTATTGTGTATGCAGCTAGATCTAAATAAATGATCCAAATTATGAGCTATCAATTCAGTTGGCAGCCGTGTGACACAGACGTCAGTTGTGTGAAGCGAGCAAACGCATCAGTAAGCTGATTTTCTCCGGCAGTTGCATTCGTACGGACTCGACGAAAGTGTGTGAATCAGACTTTAGCGTTGTGTGCGGCTAACGCAACGCTAACCCAAAGATGTTTCATACTTACCGATGCTCCATTCATGCGCTACGCAACGCCGCGAGCTTCGTATAAACATTCGCTATTCATTTTTGAGTACGTACGCATCGGCCATCTGCGTTCCCGTCTCGTCACTTTTATTGCGCGAGGGACGGCGCGAAAACGGCCCTAGATTGCTTGGAACAGTTTGCATGGGCACATCTAGATGGTGCTGCGTATGCCGCGTATTAGTTTGTGTTTCACCGTACGAAAGGTCTGGCTTGTCGCGCTCCGCGATGTTCTGCCGCAACTTGCGCGTGTCATGCGCAATGCTAACGTAACGTTCTTTACGCTATTGTGAAACCCTCGATTGACCCATAATTTACATTTGGGCTGGATTCATGCCCGAGAGACGTAAGGCTCGAGTATTGCAAACAGGCGTTACACGCAGGCAAAGGCAACAAAAAGCATACTTAATCGAACAAAATGGTGAGTTCGGCTAGTTGGATCATTGAGAATGAAAGCGCACAACACATTAGCAGGCGATTAATGGTTATAACTCTGTTCCTGTTTTGGGCGAATTTAGTACACCCTTAGTTCATAGTAGGTAATGCATACGCGACCGAACATAAGGCAAACTCAGACATAATTAGCCATAAGCAATCATAGAAAAAGTCTCTACTGTTTGTAACAAGAGAAATTAGTGAGTTTTAGTATTGAGCAAACGAGCCAACGCAAGCAATGTGCGTTTGCTCTAGTGTTGCATGGTCCACAGTGATTGTGCGCGGAGACCGAATTGCGGTTTTCCATTGGCGCAAGTTGACGGCGCGCATGTACAGCGTGGGCACGCTACACTAAAGGCTCGTTCCCACAGCTGCGTTTGACTACGTTTGACTGGGCTCAGACTGGTTGCCTCGAGCTGGTGCTATAACGACCCTATATGCGACGTGCAAACGGGGAGGCGCTGTGCTGTACGACGCAGCGCTACGCAATCGACGCAACTGTCTGAACAAACCTTAACTCAAACGCACACCGCTTGCGTTTGCTCCTGTACGCAATACTAAAACTCACAATATTTATCACTCCGGCCAGAGGGAATACACCATTTCCATTAATCTGTCACTGCGCGCGTGGCATTCTGGGAACCTGTGGGCCAGGACCGGAGCGCGTATGGATTTAGCTGCCCACTGATTCCCACACCGCGAACCACGTAATCCATGGCCCGAAGCTTTTGTACTAATGATAATGCTCGAGAAAAAAAAAATGAAGGATATTTCTAGGAAATTGTTTATTGTGTTTATTTTTTTTCTCTTGACATAAAAAAAAAACAGGAAACTAAAAGAATCTAGCTTACTACCAATACTGAGAAACCTACTAAGCAAAGGTATGCAACGTACGCTAAAATTAACAAAACTCACTATGCAAATAAAAAAAAAACATATCGCACGTCGCTTCGCCGACAGTGGAGGTGAAGGATTAAACACACTAGTACCATATTAAATTTGGCCATCAAAAAAAAAAAAAAAAAAAAAAAAAAAACGCGGTACGGTGACGGATTAAGGGAAAATACGGTAAGAAACAACCAGCGCTTGTAGTTGCCTGCTGCCTGTATTCAACGTCACACTCTTTGCATTGCCCTAATAGCATACGGAAAACTAACATTGCTCTGCTGTTAGTATGAATTTCGCAGCACCATGGCTGTAAATGTTAATAATATATGAAAATAAAGTTTCGAGCATTATAAAATAGAGAAGTCATAACTTTGCGCTGCCTGATATTTCTTCCTGTAGTGTGTTTAAACACGTGACGAATCCAAGTGTTAATGCCGTCTATCGCATATTGTGTGGTTAATATATTTTCACGCTTTAGGTCAACGAAAAACATGCTACTTGTTAGACAGAATTAGCATCAGCTACTACACCAGCATATCTGCATACTTTTGTGTAGTATAACATCATAATTAACGAACGGTGGCTGCAAGTTAACCGCAAAAAGCCGGCGTCACACTCCTCGTACACCATACAAACGACAGTCTGATACAGATTCGAAGGCGAGTTACCGGGAAATCCGTGCTTCGAATGCCGCATAGTAGTGTGTTTAGGCAGAAACTTGCAACACGGCATTTGAAACAGTAATATTGCGTTGACTTGTGTTTGCGTGACTGTCTTTTAGATGATGTATGTGCAGTGCGACCTCGGCTTTACACAGTAAAAACCCAATACAACATTTAGCATGATAAAAAGTATGGGGGTCAGTGGCCGAGTGTGTGAGCAAACCGCAGCTCAAATCACGTGGAGCGAAAGCTCGCGCTACAAAACCCAGGGACCCTGGGCTCAATCCCGACCCTTGGTTTGATTTGGACGAGCATCGCACGGCGTCCGGTCGTGTGTTCCTACTACGTGATGCAAGTTTTAAGACCCAAGGCTAGCAGTCGTACTTCACTAGCTAAGCTTCTCATCTACAATGTAAGCCAGTGTCCCCGAACCACAAAGGCATCTTACTCTGCATAAACACGAATCTCAAATTTGGTATTTTGGTTTTGGGAAGATCATATTGCTAATGTCAGATGCGTAGTGAAAGATATGCCAAATTAATAAAGCACCAAAAAGCATTCAAGAATGGAATAATGTAAGGCCATGTAGTAGTATCGCAAAACCTGGCTAAAAACTCTTGCGTTGTAGATCTAGGTCGGTATTTTTAAGGGAATATTGAACCAAACAATTTAGTGTCCATAATAAGTGGCGCACGTTCTTTCCGCGAGCCAGCAGCCGCCGCTGTGAGAGAGCACACGTAACGAAATCGACGTCATAATCCTCCATATGCGCTTAAGACGACGGTGAATGGTGTAGGGACTGGACGCATCGACAAGCGAGTCCAGTCTCGGCAAAGGAAAAGAGAAAAAGACGCGCGCGCTAGCTACGCTCACGCGCTGACGCGCTCACGAAGAGCAGTTCCATCGAACCCCGCCAAAACTTCCGTCCAAGCACAGTGACGTCAACCTGGCCGAAAACGCCCCCAGAATCCCCGGCCGCCGGCCTACATAAGGACGTTCCAAAACAACGTTCTATTTCAGTCGTGTCTCGTCAGGAACTGCACTACGTGAGCGCGTGAGCGCGTGAGCGTATAGCTAGCGCGCGCGTCTTTTTCTCTTTTCCTGTGCCGAGACTGGACTCGCTTGTCGGTGCGTCCAGTCCCTACAAATATGCCCCCCCCCCCCCTTAGAGAGGAGGTAGGACGAACGTTCAAAGCACACAAACATTCTTTCACCACAATGGTATGGGCTTCGGCCCAAAGGAGACCAAATACAGGCTTTTTATCTCCACAAGTGAAAGCTACAGCTTGTTAGACCTATTAATCGCTTACCTTTTACACCAGACACCGCTGTGTAGATGAAAAACTTGTCTTTATTTTCACTTTCCCTAGAGCCCACACATTTCAATGTCATCTTAAGCGTGAATGGGAGACTTTGACGACGATTTCGTTGCGTGTGCTCGCGCACACCGTCGGCTGCTGGCTCGTGGAAAGATCGTGCGCCACTTATTACAGGCACTGAAATGTTTGGTTCACCATCTCCCTAAAACCAAAATTGCTGGATTATCATTGCTAAGAAAAATTAAAAAAAAAAAAAAATCCAAATTATTTTGTTTAAAACTTCCTTTTTCGTTGTTTTTTTTTCCGGCCTTGAAAAATTTCGGGAACTTTGCATCCCTATGCCTTCACTCTAAGTAGGAGGTGACAAGAAGCGCAAGCAGCGGAATGAACTATAACTCATGGGAGCGTGCGTAAGCAGGTGCCATCAGCGCGAGCAAGTGACTTTCGAATGACGAAGTGCAGTTCCTCACGTGATCGTGCAACGTCATAAGGCGGATAATAACACGCCAACGAATAGCTAAGCGCAACGTTACTAGATTACCTCAGTTGTGGAGATCCACCGGACGGGGGTACCCCTTCACCCTTTCAATCCGCCTGCCATTGTTGAAGTGCAATCAATATTTTCATGTCGAAACTGTCTATTCCATACACTATGGTCAAACGCTACCTATAAGCTGTACGTCATAAGATATGTATTCTATGAACTACACTGCAGTTACCATAGTTGTCGTCTTAAAATCGGTGCTGCGTCGAGCGACCAGAAGCTAGCCGTGGGAGCGGAGAGGGGGAAACTGCTCGTGCAAGAACATCTCCGGACAGTTATGTAACTGAATGGATGAGTAACGCTGCCTCAGCGCAACGTCGCTCAGCGGGCATATTGCGCCATGACTTCGCACAGCAACCGATAGATAGCGTAGTGGGCGCGATAAACCTAAAGCCCCTTGATAAGATTCACGATTTGCGTTTCTTGCAAATGCCGCAAACCGTTGTTCTTTTGAAAGCCCAAGAGACGGGCCAACGTTCCTAGATTAGATCAGCTACGGAACTGCCCTTAGACGCTTCTCGCACGAGCAGTATACTCCGTATCCCGCTAGGATCAGCTCCCGCCGTTCTACTCGCCAGCAGTTTGGTGATGACTGCCGCGGTAACTGCAAGGCTCTGGGTACCTGCAGTGTATTCTAGGGAATAAATATGTTTCGATGTACAGCGTATGCGCAGTTTTACAACGGCAATCTAGATTCCGCTCCAAACGACCGACACCCCATTTCTCTCGAGAATCTATCACTCTTTCCTCCTCTAGGCGGGTCCCTCCCTCTTTCATTTTGGCGCTAGCGCCTCCTAGGCTGCCCTTCCGCCGAGCGCCGCGACAGCTGAAAGCAAGCAAACCCTTTCTAGATTGGTGTTTTCTCCGTGATTTGGACTCGCGGCTATCATGTTTTCTTTGGGGTATGAGTGAATCTTTCCATAGCTTTACGTCTGGAGGAGGAACGCGAGTTTTGTTGACGCTCCGGCTGTGCGTCTGCGCTGATCACTCGGTTCGAGATCCCATGCAATCTTACGCTTTATAAATAGTCATACAATAAAGTTGAACTCTAAGATGTATCATCCTAATCTCATTTCCTCTTCAGCGGACAGAGGCGCCAAGGCTATAAGCGCGAAATAGCACATTTACAACATATTCTGTTGTCTCCCTGTCTTTGTTAACATGATGAAGCTAGTATAGATTTCATTTGTGCGATTCTCAGCCTGTGTTTCGCACACGTGTGCTTCTACTGTAACCAAATCCCGGCATCAATCTCCCGCAGTGACACACCTCTTCGATGACGGTGTGTCCGTACAAGCTGCTGTCGTACTCCCAGGAGGAACAGGGTATCCGCACCGCTTCGGTGTCGGTTGTGTTCCAGACGTCTTCGAAGCACTGAGTCCTCGCCTCCTCTTCTAGAACACTGGCGTTGGTCGCGGAGAAAACGGTGCGTGTCCAGTTAACCGACGAAGTGGAGCAGCGGTAAGGCACGTTGGGGGGAGTCACGAACACGACCATCATGAGGTTCCAGGTGACCGGCATGCCGCGAAGAAAGGCGAAGAGGCTGATCAGCAGGTGGCACCTCGACAGGTTATCCACCAGCGAGTCCACGGTGGCGGGAGCCATTTCCTTGTTTGGCTGACATGCAAAACATTTTGCTGTCGTTAATGAATTGCACGTGCAACCCATTGCACTGAGCATGACAGTTTATAGCTGCATTAGCCGAGAACAAGCAATTGTTATTTAGTTAGAAATGATTTCTATATTATTCGATAGATTCCCACCGCAGATCCTAGTGATCGTCGTCCCGCGTCATTTATAAAGACTTACCTCGGTGCATTCCCGTTGTCACCTCGGGTCTGTGAATCGCACACTATGAAAATGTGTTCACGTAATTTTTCCTCCCTCATTCTGTTGCGACACCGCTGAACCGCGGTTATTTCTTTGTTCTTCATAGACATGCTCGTGAAGATATGTCACCTACCAGAACCACGCAGCGAAAGCAGACGACAGCGGCGAAATGACCTTCTCTCGGAGCTTCCCCGCGTTGCCACTACTTGACCTCTATTTCGCTGGAGTAACCAATAGTTTTTATTACAGCGACGAATGTAATGCATGGCCAAACCTTTAACGCTCAGATTGGAAGAGGTGCGACTAGCGATGATAAAACAAAGAGCAAACGCCACGTTACTGTTCACCTCACTTCGGTGCATGGAGGAAGGCGTCACCGACTGGTGTGTTTACTGCATCCGAAAAAGTGATCTCTCAGTCACCGACTGATGACTTCGTAGAAGTGGCATGCTGTCCCTAGCCGCGGCCCTGGCGGTGTCAAAGCAGCTGTGGTGGATGTGTTAGCGATCAAGAGATTTAAATCAGAAAAGAATGCAGAAGCTCGTAGGTGGCCTCCGACCCCGGCTGCTCCCAGACAGAAGTTGCTATATGGTCCCTGGAGAATACCCGAGCCCCCAAGACGGGGCGGGCCTCTCTGCTGTGAAACCCGAGCCGCGCGTGCGTGCCAGCAAGCAACAGCTTCGGAGGCGACCGCCCTCGCCCACGGAGAAGGGCATTCCATCGCACGACGCCGAGCGAGACGCAGCACCGCTCTAGAAGTGTAACCTTTATATAATCGCCCATTTGCGTATTCCTCAAAGTTTTAATCAAATAAACAGTTTAATCCAACCTCGTCGTAATCTGTTCAACCTAAACGCTAACATTTCAGAAGTGGGATAAATTCCACAAAGCCAAACCGTCAATCGGCCACCAAACTCTTCATTATGAAACGGAAGGGAACGAAGGACGCACAGCCGGCGAGCAGCGAGGCCACTTCAACGAGCAACGTTGTTGGCGGCGACGAAGCCAACAAAAGCAAAGAAGCGAGCCAAGTGACTGCAACGAGCCTGCCGGGCGTAGACCCCTTCTCGACTCCGCTGCCCCCACTGCCGGAGGTGAATAACGGAACACCGCCTGATGGAGGCAACCCAGGAACGCGGAACGCACAAAGACAGCCCCCGAACGACAGCGGGGGCTCCTTCGACTTGAAGGCATTGATGCAAGCGACCATCCAGGCGGCGTTGCGCGAGGCGATGAACGGTGCTGCTCAACTCTGGCAAACGCAACAACGACATGTCACTCCGGACGTTACGAGTGCAACGGACGGCCGGCTGGCCACGGCGAGCGCCCAGGTTGTGCCAGTGTACGAACCCACGACCAAGACATAGCCAACGGTGGAGGCGTGGATCAACAGGGCGGATAATCTGGCGGCTGCCTACGGGTGGAACGACAAGCAGACGACATGTTTCGCCCTTGTTAAACTACAAGGAGTGGCGAAAACATGGTACGACGGACTCACGACTGCACAGCGATCGTGGGATGAGTGGAAAACCGAGCTGAAGAGAGCGTTTCCATCGAGCGCCGGATTCCAGCATCTTTTTGGAGAGATGGAGTCACGTCGCAAACAACGCGACGAATGCATGGAGGTCTACTTTTACGATAAGCTAGGCAAGGCACGACGATGCAACTTGGACGACGAGGCCTGCATGGAATATATTGCCGCGCGCAGAACCGAGAAAGCAACGCTCGCTCACGGACCTCTAGAAAGTTCTCATTTATTCTTGTTCTGGACTTAGCTTCTATCATTTATCCCTGCTTTAGTTGTTCCAGAAAGTGCCTGTTCATTCTCGCCCCGAGCGCGCTACGCTCGAACCTTCTCCGCCGAATCTTCGAGATAGTGACTCACCTTAGATAAGAGGCCGCCCGCGACCTTGTCGAGTCAGTTTCGCCCCAGCGTTCGACTCTACTCTTTCGCCGACTTCGACGCCCGCGACGCTCTGCTGTTATCTTGTTTCCTCTTTTATTTCTTGGGCACAAGTTCGCCCCATTAAACGTTTCAGTTTCCTCAGTTGTTCTTTGTTTCCTCTTTTGTTCCTTCGTGACATTTTTGTTGGAGGTGCTGGGTATCGCATGCCCGTGCAGCGTTCCCCTCCAAGGGCCCGCAGTGCAAGTCCGATTCCAAGCCCGGTGAGAAGACCACTCTACGAGGAACCTACGACCCGATCCAGTCGCCGCACCCAAGGTCTACCCCCGGAATACAGACTTCTGGCACCCAGGACCAGGCAGCCAACGATGCTGACGATGGACAACCAGTCGTCGCAGGACCCGTCCGCCGCCGCCGTTGTATACCTTCCCGTCGCACCCAGGACTCCGACGCCATTCCACGGGGAGGTCCATAAGGACGTTGATGATTGGCTGCAACATTACGAACGAGTTGCCCGCCATAACGCATGGGCACCGGAGTAGTGCCTCCAGTACGTCTACTTCGCTCTGGAAGGCACGGCACGCACGCGGTTCGAACACCACGAAGCGTCAATTTCGTCGTGGCAAGACTTCCAGGCGGAGCTTCGACGCACTTTTGCCAGCCAGCAGCGACGTCAGCGGGCCGAAGAACTTCTTCAAGCAAGAGCCAAACGAGAGCGTCACAAGTTTCGTCGAGGACGTTCCACGCCTCATGAGCCGCGCCGACCCAAACGCTCCTGAAGAGAAGAAGTTGCGGTTCCTGATGCGGGGCGTGAAAGAAAACATCTTCTGCGGCCTTGTTCGTAGCCCTCCGACAACTGTCGAAGATTTTGTCGCCGAGGCGACGAACATCGAGCGTGCCCTGCAAGCCCGAGCCAGCCACTACCAGAGCCTACCCGGCGTCAGCGCGGTTCCGCAGTCCCCTTGCGACCTTGCCCACGGCATCCCGGGCATTCGAGAGCTCATTCGCGAGGTTGTCCGGGAGGAGCTTAAGAAGCTTCTGCCGACTGCTGAGCGCCCGGCCTCAATCTCCATTGCTGAGGTTGTTCGGGACGAGGTTCAGCGAGCGTTCCTTCCGGAAGCCCCTGTCACCGTGGCCGCAGCCGATGAGCCGACGCTGACCTACGCCGCAGTGGCCCGACGACCACCCCCAACTGCTCGTCATTACCCGGTGGCGCCACGACGAGACCCACCAACGCAGACGTACCCCCGACGAAACGACGAAGGACGTCAGTACGACCGCCGAGAACAGTCGGCGCCGAGGAAAACCGACGTGTGGAGGACAGCGGATCGACGACCCATCTGCTACCACTGCGGGGAGGCCGACCATATCTACCGTCGCTGCCCTTACCGGCAAATAGGGCTGCGTGGCTTCCACCCGAACGATCCACGTCGACGCTCCGGTGAACGACCACATGAGATCGAAGAATACCTTCGACGACCTCAGTCTCCCCCTGCAGCTCGCCGCGTATCCCGGTCGCCGTCACCACGACGTCCAGCTTCGCCGATGCACCGACCCCGACGTGAAAGCCTGTCGCCCCTCGCTCCTCGCCAGGGAAACTAGGCGCGGCAACCCCTGGAGGTGGAGTTGCCGAAGGCGACCGACGCCAAGATCCTCCACGAACGTCGGAGGGACCCCACTCAAACACCACCGGAGACCGAAGCGACGCTCCTGCAACGGTGAAGAATAACCTACACGTCGTTATCGACGGCCACGACGCGTCGGCTCTCGTCGACACGGGTGCAGGCTACTCCGTCCTGAGTGGGAGGCTCTCCCAACGCCTTCGGAAAGTGACGACGCCGTGGGATGGCCCACAGATACGGACCGCCGGTGGGCATCTCATCACACCAGTCGGGATTTGCACTGCTCGCGTTGAGATTTACTGTGAGACGTGCCCTGTCAAGTTCGTCGTTCTGCAAGATTGTTCGAGGGACGTTATCCTAGGAATGGACTTTCTTTGCGAATATGGCGCCGTCATCGACCTCGGAGAAAACGGGCTGACGCTACGAAAACCTGCTCCAGCGGTGAAGGAACCCAAAGCGACGTCTTCCGCGGTCCGAGTCGTCGCAAATCACGCGAACTTACCGCCGTGGTCGAGTGTTTTCGTACCCATCGGGATCGACGAGGCTTTCTGTGGCAACGTTCTGCTCGAGGGAAGCCTCCAGCTGCTTCTAGGAAGAGGGATCGGCGTCGCAAGAGGCATCGCGGAGCTCCAAGACGGACACACTGTTGCACTCGTAACAAACTTCCGACAGGAGGCTCAGCACCTTACGAAAGGCACCCCCGTGGGTCACGCCGAGGAACTCGCAGACTCAGCCGCAATTACCGGAATAGCAGAAGACCTGTCTTCGTGGCCACACGAGACAACGCCGTATTCGCAGTTTGACATCGACCCAGTCCTGCCTACCCTACAACGACGACAAATCAGTGACCTTCTCGTCGAGTTCAGTGAGTGCTTCTCTACGTCATCAAAGGTGCGCCAAACGACTATTGCGAAACATAGAATTATTACTGAAGACGACGCGCTTCCTGCTCATCGGTCACTGTATCGTGTCTCTGTGAAAGCGAGAGAAGTCATCCAGAAGCAGGTCCAAGAAATGCTCGACGACGACATCGTTCAGCCCTCAAACAGTCCGGGGCTTCACCGGTAGTCCTGGTGAAAAAGAAAGACGGAACTCTTTGGTTCTGCGTGGACTTCCGTCGACTAAACGCCGTAACAAAAAAGGACGTCTACCCGCTGCCACGCATCGACGACACTCTGGACCGGCTGGGCCACGCCCGATACTTTTCGTCGATGGACCTCAAGAGTGGGTACTAGCAGATCGAGGTCGACGAACGGGATCGT